CATGACTTTTAAGGAATTTACAGAAAACTTTGCAAGGGGACCGCTTACAAGTGCCTCATGTGTGTATTGGTTTCGATCCCAGGACATGGAGCAGGAAAACTTGCACATCTGCTTACCGTGCTCTGGCACTACTACTACTACCACTACCGGAGGCAAGCACTCAGGGCAATACTCACTGCAATACCCAGTCAAGTCAGTTGCCGAGGCCCTACTGTTTTCCTACCATACTTCATCGGCAGTCTTTCCAGTTTATCCCACAATACTCGTATGCATGAATAGGTTCGGGTGGAAACAATGGCAAATCTCCGATACACCACTAAACTCAGTTCCATGAGCTACAATGAAAACAAATGAAAATGCAGATGTCTGTCGAGAAGAATGTGTGCTCCATATGCATTCTGTGCCTTAATCCATCGAGCTCTCCGTTGGGTGGGGCATGGCCCATGAAGTTGCCCCTGGTATTCCGCCCATGCAACCAAACACTGACACAAAACGAGAGGCCTTTTCAGCGGCCAGCTAATCGAGAGGCCTTTTCAGCGGCCAGCTACTACACCCAACCCCTCTGCTTGAAACCATATGGCCTCTTCACCAAACTCGCTTTCGCTGACATCCATCCCAATGGCATACTCCAGGCCGGTTCCGGCCCGGTTCCGACCTAACGGGTCCAGTTAACGAGATGGGTAACCGGTCGGTAGGATTACCGGGCGAACCGTTATCCGTTAACCGTCCCCAGTAATCGGTAACCGATGTCGGTAACCTGGCATGAGGAAAAATGCATTTCTGATTGCAACCAGTTTCTTTGTGACAATGCCCATTGTCACAAGGTTCATGCCCACGTGTCACACCCCGACAAGCTTGAGGAGGTTAAGGCAATGTGAATGCCGGGTGACAGGGGTGACAGTCTTGTGCAGGCACATTTGGAGACTAGTTTACACTGAGATTGGGGTGACGTTGGATTAGAATACTTGCAGTTCATGAAATTGAGGAAATGTGTTGCATAGGCATATCCAAACGTTTCAGAGGGACGTTGTTTCGCCCGTAACAAACTTGTTACGGGCGAAACAAACTGGATTTCCACAGTCCCGCCACTCAAAGAGCTCCCCACACCATCGCAAAGTCCCTTTTTTATTACAGACACATGTAACAAGTTGTCATAGCTTGAGATTGTCGATATATGACTGCTGGATTGTGACCAGGCCATCTCCTTACATGTCTTGCTGCACCAGCATGAGCAGTGATCCCTTCTGTTCAAAATTTTCAGGCAACATCGCAATGAGGCAAAACATTGTGCCGAATCTGCCGTACAAAGAGTGTTCAAAGCTTCACGCTACTAACGGACGAATACATAAGCATTCATTTACCTTGAAAGAATAAAGGAATTCTATAGCTTCATACAAATTCGCCTATCAGCAACTCTCCCTGGTCGTTCAAAAGTTGCTTGAAGATTCTACCATCTCCATACTATGAAGGAGCGCTTCTTCATTTCTTCATTTTATCTGAACCTTAACGTATCCTTCCAACACAATGTCCATGGACAACGGTAATGAGGTCGGCGCCTACGAGTTTGACCGGAACGCCCTGGACAACATCGCCCGTCGGCGACAAGATCGCCCACGCAAGAAATACAGCCAGCATCGTCCAGTGGATGAGTTTGGAGTACATAAGCTTGCCAGGGCAAACAATCTAAGTCAATTTACCGCGTGCCAATTGGAGGATGCCTTGTCCAAGGAAAGGTGCCATATGGACGACCTTGTGTTAGTTTAGTTGTTGCATGTAAGCTTGTGAGTTGGTGGCCTGGTTCATGCTTATGGGCGACAATTGAAATGCCGGGACAATGACTTATTATACTGGATTCACATGGTACGTTACGTTGCGAAGGGTGTCCCAAATTCACTGATGAATTGACTACTGTTGTATCCACTTCCACTGTTTAGGTGGTAGTGAAAACTACCGATTAGTGAATGAAGGGAGGCTAAGTGCCTCAGCGGTAATGACGACTTGTACAGCAATCTGTACGATCCAAGAATATAGTCGTCACCGCGAATTATCACCAATCGGTGCAATCGTAACCCAAGTGGGTCTACCAGTGACAAGTGTCACGATTATAGCAAGTGTAACGACGCAAATGCCAATCTGAGCATCCCGGGTTACGCCTTTGCTGTGTTACAATGGTATCGAGACGGGACTGCACGACTTCCGTAACAAACTTCGGGTCGGCGGTTCGATTCTGGCAACCAGCAAGTCGCAAATTGGCGATTTCATGGTGTAATGGATAAACCAGCGCACTGGCGCGAGGTGGGATGGCTCCTGTGCTCGAAATAATGGCCGAGGACGTCCATTGCTAAGTGGGGGGCAATGTAACGACGCAAATGCCAATCTGAGCATCCCGGGTTACGCCTTTGCTGTGTTACAGCAAGAGTGCTATAACCCAGTATCACACGTGATAAAAGATAGGCAAGTGCCCAATGGTTAACCAAGTAAGAGCGAAGATAATGCCAAGTGGTGAAGTGCCAGAGTATCGGGGAAAATCCGAAGTTAAATAAGCAAGTATGCCACAACAACTATCCCCCCTCTGGACGCAGCATCCTCGCAGCATTAGTGGCACGAGCCTTGACTGCTTGAAGTTCGGAGCGGAGGTCGGGCGTAAGGTTCTTCTCTGGCTCCCAGCTATTATGTTGGTTGGGGGTTGGAGTGGAACAGGAAGCAGCCATGTAAAACACTCGTACGATAGCACGATATGACATATGCGGGTCTTTTTCACTTGGTGGTGTTTAGCGCTAAGAGGATATGTGTGTGTGCGTGCGCCCACATGACGCTCCTTAGGTTCTCTAGGTGGTCTCCCCTTACGGCGTCTTCCTAGGCGGCGGGCACGATAATCAAGAGTAAAGTGGATCGCTCTTTAGCCACTGAACTGGCGGCGGTCCTGCAGGACTAAAAGGTGCAGAAGAACTGTCGCGA